GAAGGTTCTTTTTGTTCTTAGGCGGTATGTACTTCAGACGGTAGCTGCTGCTGCTGCTTCGTGGGCTTGTGGGTGCAGCCCACGGTGCAGACACAGGATGAAAACACATCTAGGAGATGGTGGCTCTGGGGCACACAGCTGAGGCGCTGACCACACGGCCAGCTCTGGAAAGGGGAACAGGCTTCCTACAGTCGGAGGCGGGAGAGGCTTCAAGTTAGATGATGAACTTCTCCTGCTTCCCAGCACCCTGAATATCCACCTCTGGCTCGTCTGCAAATGAAGATTAATTTACAATTTACATGCACGAGCTGGGTTTACCGCTCCAGCACACAGCCATCTTGGCTTGCTTACACTGGATAGAAACAGTGCCACAAATGTCCGTATCGCTCAGGGTCCCCTCAGGAAAAAGATGGCATTACAAACTGGGCAACTGAAGGATGATTTATACAGATTGGGACAGGGTACAGAGAGAGCGACAGGGAGGACAGTGAGTCACAGCCAGGAGCCCCAGGCTGAAGGCGTCAAGGGGAGTGGCTGGTTACCAGAACCCAGAGAGAGCAGCCTTAGGGAAAGGTCCCTCATAGGAGAGCTGGTGTTTAGGAGGGGGACACAGCCAACTCACAATTCCTTTGGCCTTGTGAGGCAGGTCACACAGATTAGCCTTCTGGGGAACACAGACAGGTAGAGTAGGGTAGGGAACATGCCCGAGGGCAGACAGAAGATGCCCTGCAAGGTGTCCGACACCAACCTGGAGGACAGCTTCAACAACAACGAACAAACTAGCCCTCTGACACAGCCACACAACAGGAAACTGTGCCTTTCACAATTCCGGTCTGAATCCGGGTCTTATGGATGTTGCCATGGTTAGATAACCACAAAATGCAGTAATTACGTAAGACACACAGATTAAAAATCGGTAAATACGCTAAGACCTCAAATTTGGATATAATGTTAACAGAGGTTAACCTGTAGAGAGATGTAGGTGATTTTCCCGTTCCTAATCTATATATTTTTAAAGTTGTATTGATGGACAGCTTTCCAGTTTACCTTCTATTATGCCCCTATTCTATTAGGCATCATCAAGATAACAAGGAGTGCTTTGATTTTTGACTGGTGAACAGAGAAAGTATCTACTGAAGCTTGGATTTCGACCTCCTCTTAGGCAGAGAGATCTTTTCAAAGAAAACTCTATTATTTTTTGTTACTAAAAATCTAATGGAAACTAGGGAGAATGCTAGTGTCATAATGGATGCCATCTCAGAGTTTCACCTTAAACAGGCTCACTTTCCAAAGTCCTCTCATTCTGGGTAATCACCAAGGGCTGCACGAAGCACCTGTAAGGAGTGGTCTGTATTTGGAAAAAATGACTCCCAATCTGCCAGCTGTGCAGGTCCCCCAGCTACAGACCATCAGCCCCAACAAGAAGCCCGTCAGATAGCCACTGCCGGCCATGATACAGAAGAATACATTTGAAAAAGAAACAGTAGAGAGGGCTGCAGATTTCTCTCTAGCTTCTCCCCTCTCCGGGAGCTAGCAGGAAGGCTTATTAATTTCTCAAAGAACAATGGGGGGGTACTGCCCTACTTTCCCTGGCTGGGCAGGCTCTTCTGTCTCTGGGGTGGGCCAGAGTCATGCAGGACAACACCAGGTGAGGGGCTTGAACTCTGCTGCTTCCCTGTCACCTCACCAGCACCAGACAAGCCCCACAAAGTTCTGCCTTTCTTAAGTTCTGAAGACACTGTGCCTCAGTTCCCATTCTCCAAAACTCCAAGCACAATAATAATAGGAATAGCTACCATTTACTCAATACCTTATGCATAGTAGGAACTGGGCTAGGCACTTAAACACATGTCTAACTGGTAAAAAACGCCTCTGAAACACAGACTTGACTGCCTGTTTCACAATTACAGAAATGACGCTGAGGTTTCCTGAGGCCACTCATGGGACAAGGAAGAGTTGATGGTGGAGCCAGGGCTCAAGCTGGATCTGCTGACTCTGGAGCCTGAGCCTTGTGTATTACCCTGCACCGCCTTCTAGGAGCAGTCTGGCAGACTTGCAATCACAGCTGCCTGGGCCCCACACTGAGGAGCTGAGCTGGACCCAAGCTCCTTCAGAGCAGCTTTCCCCAGCCTCCTGGGGATCCAGTGATGACAAAGAAATCAAGCACAAGATATGGCAAAGTAGCCTTCAGGCACCGGTCAGGGGTAGGGTGGGGAGCAGCCATTAACTAATGACTCGTTCTAGGAAAGTCGGCCAAAGGCCTGGGTCTAGGGCCAACCACTGGGGGAAACACTTCTGAAGTTTCTCTTTTGACAGAGATATCCACAAAAACCAAGTATAATATGACTCAAAAACAATGATGAAGGATTACGCATGAAGGGCCCTGTTAATATTCTCTATACAAGCAAATCTCAATCTTCTGAATTCCTTCCAGTAAGACCTCAGTTGCCTCAGGTTTTTGAATTTAAAGAGTAACAGTGCTTCCGGTCGTTCAGTCACAGTACAGACTGGCCCAGGACACCCAGACCTCACACAGTCCCAGGGTTCACGGTAGCCATCTGCAAACTCGACCTGCAACAGAAATGTGAGCATATGAACCTCCTGTCCCTAATGGGCCAAGAGACAACCCCTGGATTAGCCCGAACAGCCAACTTCAATTAAGCTGGGCGTGCTTCAGTGATTTCATGTTTTTCCTCCAGGAGGAAATGGTGGAGCCCATTAGACTGCCTGGCAATGCTGCGTGTTAACAGAGCATGGTAATCCTGTGGCCAATCACCCAGCACTATCGACCTCTTGGGTGAAAGGTATGCTCAGGAGATGGAGCCAAAAAGAAGAGGTAATTCATTAGACTGGTAAAGCTGTCTTCCAGCCCATTTGAAGGATTCTGAGCTATTGCCTTGATATCAAACCAAATACTTCTCAGCCTCATGTTCAGTCCCCTCCCACTATGTGATCCCAATCTCACTCTCTACCCTTATTTCTTTTTAAGATTTTATTTTTTTAAATAATCTCTACACCCAGCATGGGGTTTGAACTTCAAACCCTGAGATCAAGAGTTGCACGCTCCACCGACTGAGCCAGCCAGGTGCCACCTACCCTTATTCCTTTTTTTTTTAGATTTTTTTTTATTTTTAATTTTTTAATTTTTTATTTTTCGACAGAGAGAGAGAGAGAGAGAGAGAGACAGAATACAAGCAGGGGGAGTGGGAGATGCAGGCTTCCCGCAGAGCAGGGAGCCCAATGTGGGACTCGATCCCAGGACCCTGGGATCACGACCTGAGCCGGAGGCAGACGCCTAACGACTGAGCCACCCAGGCGCCCACCTACCCTTATTCCTTAGGCTTGCCTATAAGAACTCTACTTTCTACAGACACCAAACGATATAAGCTTTCCCAGCTCCACGCCTTCACTCACGCGATTTTCTCCACCAGTGCCCTTTCTTCATTCCCCTAGCTTCAACCTGGTTTTCCCCCAAACACTTGGTTCTTTAATTCCAAGTCAAATTCCGCGTCTCTGAGATCTTTCCTGAAGCCCCTCCCCCGCTCTGTCTCACCCCCGTCCCCACCCTCCCCACTCCCACTGATGTTTTTCTCCAGCGGCCCCTCCTCCCATTTCAGAGCACACCGCACTTCTACTCGGAAACTGCCTCATCCTATCCTTGACTATAAGTGAGTGAAACTCTGTCTTGTCTGTTTTTGAAAAACAAAGGCAGAGCACACATTCCTACAAACACACAGACTCTAGTGTGTAATCTCCCATGGGCCAGGAGCTCTGTCACTCAAACTGATTTTCCTTTAAGTGGTCTAGCGTCTAGTCCGGGCTCACCCAATCTTGGTTTCTGAACCAGTGAAAACTTTCTATTGCACAGGATTCCTCAGTCCCTGACTACACAGAGTCCTCAACCTCATCTTATCTGGAGATAAGAGTGCTGTTGGAATTGCCCCCACCTTGTTCCCATGCTGGGAATGGGATTCACTTTGGTTTATATCCCATGCTGGGAATGGGATTCACTTTGGTTTATATAACTTTGCAGCTGCAACCTGAATAGATTTGGGTAGGGCATTTAGTCTACAGATTGCTCAAAGGGACGTGTCAGCTGCACTGTTCCCCTCCTCTTTGCGAGCTAAATTCATCTCTTGAAAATGTTCCTGGGAGACAGACCCAGTCCCCTTCAAAGGCAGCTCCCTCTCAGCAAGAAGCCTGCAAGGGTAGCACTTTAACATTCTCTGGGTGTTTACCAATCTTTGAGAAACACATTCTTATGCCCAGTAAGACATGTCACAGGTCACTGAAAAATATTCAGGTACATATTTCTAACTATTCTATAACAGTGGTTATGAAAGTTAACCTGGGCCTCAGACTCCAAAATGCTTTCTCCTCACTAATCTCTCTCTGTTTTTCCAACCACCTAGCCCTCTGCCTCATCGACCCGGGAATGTGGGACGGGTAGAATGCTTCTGCTGGAAGAGGCGTTTGGTCTTCCAGGGGAATGCAGTAGGAATAATCACGGAGGAGCAGAGACTAGAAAAGCCCCCTCCTGATCCTCTTTCAGCAGCTTCTCCCAGAGCCCAACCCTCTCCCTGGCTCCTAGCTGACCCTGGGCCTTCCCTCTTCCTCCTGAAGACTCATACAAAGTTTTCTAGTTCTTCTTAAGCATCTTCAGGGTAAGCATGACTGCCTGGATGGTGGCTAATGGGATCCAAATATTTCCAAACAGCATGTCATTTCTAGGAACTGCCTCTCCCTCAGACCCGCTCTGCTTGGGGCCACCACCCTCCAGTTTAACCACGAATGGACCTATCCTTTGCCATCTGGGCAATAAGATCCCCTGCCTGGCAACTTGGGGCTTGCCTCGTCATGGCTGTCAGAGACACTCTGGTCACAGCGCAAAGGAACCAGGGCAACCCTGGCCCACACGTCCTGGTCCTGGGAGTCGGCACACAGGGGAGCTGTGGTGGGCTGTGGCCAGCCCAGCTCCCTCTGACATCACGTGGCCTTACCTCATCCCACTCCGAGGCAAAGGAGGGCGACTTCTCCAGCCTCTTCTTCCCGATGCTGCAGTTGGACAAGGACTCGCTCCGGCTCCCCATTGTAGTGTCGTCCGTGGGTGAGCAGGTCAGGAGATCAGAGTCAGACTTGGACAAGCTGCGGCTGAGTTTAAGTTCAGCTTTGGGTTTGCTGCTGGGAGGGGCTCGGCTCCTAGCCCCACTCCGGTCTCTTTCTTCCTCGGCACCACCAGGGTGTTGAGATGCTGTGTGAGTCAAAGTTTCGGGGTGCGATTGGCTGTTGGTGGTGGGCAGGCCAGCCGGGTAACCCGCTCTCTTACTCTGGTCCAGGACACTGGGCGGGGAGGCTCCAGGAGCACGCACAGCCGTCTCCTCCAGCTGCATGCTGGCCTCGTGACAGGCGCCCTGTGCGGGGGACCCTTCTGGAAGGCTCTGGCCAGTGGCAGAGAGCAGCTGGAAAGGGTCCTGCCCCACCTCACACACCGGGGAGGAGCCGTGGAGGAGACCGGAGAACTGCTCTGGGACCTGCCCGTCCTGCCCCTCCGCAGAGTCCTGGCTCCGACTGCTGCTGCCCCGCCTGTGGTCTTGGAGTGGACGGAGAGACAGAGAAATAAAAAATTAAACGTGGCAAAAATCAACAGTTCCAACGCAGCGAGCGAACGGCAGGGCTGAGGAATTCAACAACAGGGAAAGAGAGAGAAGCTGGATGGGTTGGAGAGAGGGCAGAGGGAGAGAAGAAGAGAGTGGAAGGAAGAAAACAGTTTTGTATTGTTCTTAATGTTCAATTTGTACCCAAAGTCAGAGCATTTATGAAATTCCAAACACTGGCCTGATTAATGCTCTCTGGCAGCCTTCCCTGTTGTTAGGTTTCTGTTAACGTTAACGACCAGACCTTGCTATATAAGGCGAGAAGTGCTAACTAGATCCTACAGAAAGGACATGAGTAAGGAGACAGAGAGCAAACACGGAGTAAGAGTGAGAGAGAGAGACAGAGAGAGAGAGAGAGAGAGAGCCAGCGAGCAGGCGAGACTCACTCCTGGAACATCTGATACATTTCCATAAAGGCCAAAGTGTTATTTAGAGCCACCCGCCCTCCCTTCTTCTGGCAAGCAGCAACAGAGGGGAAAAAAAATGGAGGTCATGATCCACAACCTGCAACTTCTGGAATTCTTTAACTGAACGTGCAAAACAAAACAGCAGAGAAATAACCGCTTCCTTCCTCACAGAGGGGCTGTTCAGGGTTCCACACCTCATCCTTCCTTCCTCAGGGAGCCCAGACCATTTTTTTTTTTTTTGAGAATGTGCACATCTCACTCCTTCCAAAGCCTCCCAGCTGCTCCTATTTGTTTAAGTTTAACCTCAGTTGATCCACTGAAAACAAAATGGTCTAATTTGTCAATGCCAGGAGACATTTGCAGTTCTCTCAAGACCTCCTCAACAGCCCAGAAATCTGACACTACTAGCTCATGAGGCCAGCTACTACTGTATATTCACCCAAGATATCAAATACTTCTGCCCTGAAGTGGCATAAATAATTGACCAAATCAGAGTCCAACATCAGAATCACACTGGGACACCAAGGGGCTCGCCCTGCGTGAACTCAGACCCATTAGAGATTTTCACCCACATCAGCAGGGTAGATTAACCACCCTGCACCCAGTACTAGCTCACATTGCTAAGCTAATATTCAGTGTTATTTTCTCTATAAGTGGAATCAACGGTATAGATACCAAATGATTCCCTAGTCTGCCCAAAGCTCCCAAGTATTGTTCATGAGTTCAGAAAATCTTAGAACCCAAAGGATCAAGTTCAATTATTTTTACAGATGAGGAATCTAAGATCCTCAGGCCTTTAGTGGTTTGTCCAAGGTGGCGGGGGAGAAGACTTTAACCCAGGCTTTCGGAACACCTGGCTCTGGTCCTGGTTGTGCTGCTCTCTAGCTGTGTGGCCTTGGCACTGATCTCATCCTGCTGGGCTTCAGTATCTAAAATAAGTAGGATGAACTGCACATAGGCTTTAAAGATCCCTTTTATGTTACAACGGTGGTAAGAATCCAAGTCTCTACCATACTGTGAGGGCAAAATTCTCCCCCTCAGGGGCTGCTGCAGATCCCTGCCTGGCTGCTTCTCCTGCTACTGCCTACATAGCACCCACTCTCCCTGACCAGCGTGCCTGCAGCCCAAGGCTCCTGGAAGCTCAGTTCCACAACTGAATAGGGTCGTCAGGGGAGGAGGGGTGCACTTTATAAACATGATGCACTACAACACAGTCTTCACTGCTCCATGCACAATGCCAAAGTCCTACAATGCTGGCTCTTCCAAGACAGCCTTTAAGGAAGGATCACAACAACCAATTCTCATATTGCGCCCATCACCCTGAGGTCTGAGCAGGGACATGGTTCCATTCACCCCACTTTCTCAAGAAGAATGGTGCAGTCTCCACAGTCTCTTCAGCTTTTGGCAAGCCTGCTGAGGCTTCAAGGGGGCAGCCAATTAGCTCCACTTTATGGTTCTGAATTCTTATCCACAGGAGTCCAGAAGTATGAACTTTCGCATCTCCTTCCTCTACACTTGACTGCTTCAGGATTTTCACACCCCTAACTCACAAACTCTATACCCCAAAGGTCAGGTCCAGAGCACTGAAAAGCACTGAACAACTGGAATCATTTCTCTAGGGAAGAAGAAATGCTGCGTACGTAAGAGTTCCATCCAGCTTAACTCAGCCCCAGGAAGCCATGACTTCAGGACTATGAATTCCACATATGACAACTGGCTGCCCGAACAAAGCTGCCCTGTAGTGTCGCACGGTGGGGCCAGAGAATATGGCACATGACCATCACTTGTGGTTCAGACCAATGGCACTGCCTAGGAGAGGCTGACCGGGAGAGTCAAAATTGCTACCTCTCGAGCCATACCCACATGGCCAATTTCCTACAGATTCTGGCCCAAGGTACAACATTCCTCTGACTGCATTTGAATACAAAAAGAGGACTTTGATAACAGGAACACGGGCTTCTATTCCTTTGTGTCAGCATCTGCCTCCTTATTTCACAATATTTTGGGGTGGGAGGGTAGTCCAACAACAAAAGAGAAACACCGGAGTCCAGAACTGGGAGTTAGCCTGGCTTACATTGCCTGGGTGGACCTCAGAACCCAGGCCACAGAGAATGTTCTGACTGCTGCTGTGGGAGCTGACAATGAAGGTCCTGTCTAACAGCCACCCATTCATGCTAGCCATCAATGAAGAAAGAGAGACAGATGCCAAGAGCTCAATACCAGACAGATGCCGGGGGAAGGAAGTGGGCAGAAAGAAAGAATGGAAACTTATGGAAGGAGGAAATATGTGAAGAGGAAAAATTTCTGAGGGCCATAATCCCATGAGGGAAAACACAATCTACCAATACTTTATGGAGTAAAGTAAAGAAATTATGGAAAGGAATTCTTATGATTACATGACTTACCCAGGCAATTCCCTAGGAAAGACACCTTGGAATTTGAAAAGCTTGTCAAGATTGAAGATCCTCCCTCAGGATCTTAATGAGCTGGTGTTCTCTTCCCCATAAAAAACCATATCCAAGACTAAGCTCGATATCCTGGCAAATCAACAGGTAGGAAAAGAACTACTGAGTGGTCCCTTCCTTCTGTAAAGTAAGGATAATATTAGGCCTCTCAGGGACAAGGTGGTAACAATATAATGTACTGATCATGAGCCAGATCTTGAGCAAATTACTTAACTTCTCTGTGCCCAGAATACTTGTCTGTAATTTTGGGATCATGGTAGTACTGACTTCATAGGATTGCTGTAAGAATTAAATTATAGTGTCAAGCACTTAGAACCACCTGGCACATGCCAGCTCTCAAGAGATGTTAATAATTACTATTATTCTCCACATAGGATCCATTACAACATACTTCGCTCACAGAAGAGCCCAACAACTAAGTCTGCTGCTCACAAGTTTGTCAAAAAGATCACCAAAGACAATGTACGAAGATCCATTGCCTTCATTATCCTTACAACCCTCGACAGCAGAAGGAAGGGACAGAAGGTAATACAGTGAGAAGGCTGAAGTGAGAAACGGGCCCCATGACTGTGGCTGTAAGTACCTATTCCATCAATGAGCATGTGAAAAATGTCTGCCTTCATGGGGTACCCAAGAGATGAAGACACTGAGTTTCTCAGTGGGCTTACCAGCTATCAGAAGAAACTAGTATATACAGAAATGACTAGAATTCAAGGCCAAAATTAATAGATGCTTTAAAAAAAGTATAAACCAGGGGCGCCTGGGTGGCTCAGTTGTTAAGCGTCTGCCTTCGGCTCAGGTCATGATCCCGGGGTCCTGGGATCGAGCCCCACACTGGGCTCCCCACTCAGTGGGAAGCCTGCTTCTCCCTCTCCCACTCCCCCTGCTCGTGTTCCCTCTCTCGCTGTGTCTCTCTCTGCCAAATAAATAAATAAAATCTAAAAAAAAAAAAAGTATAAACCAAATGCACAGTGAGCAGGAAGGAAAGTGTGATTACTTTGAAGCAGAAGGATTCTCAGAAGAGGCAGCTTTTGAGCTGGGCACTGAAGGAGAAGTAAGGCCTTGACAGGCTTAAAGGTTAGTGGAAACACATTAGAAAAAGCAGAGCCACAAACCTCGTGCCTGGGCACTCATGGACTCTTGGACTCGCAGACGAGAACCGTCAGGCCTGAGGCCTTCCCTCTGACTGGGAATCACTGCGCTCCCACCTTAGAACTACACAGCTTCCAATCCTCTTCCCGCACCTGTCCTCAGCAATCCCCACAACCTGCCCTCATAGGAGAGAAACAAGGGGCCAGGACACAGGGACAGCTGTTTCCTTACTCTCCCCGTAGATCAAGGCCAGCTGTTCGACCAAGTAGCACACAGCAGCATGCTAATTCCCAGCCCCTTGGACTTTCAGTCTTTATTCACTCTGGGTGTTGTTCATTTTCCTTTTACCCTGTGAGCTGCTGAAGCAAGGGGTCTTCTGTGCTGCATTTTAATGATGATGATGATCCACGGGGATCTCAAGGGCTTGTAAATAATAACATTTTAACATTTACACATTTTTAGTCACCCCCGTCTGTTTAGATTAGAGCTAAAAATTGCGGCTTATGTGAGAACTTGCTAAGTCAAATCAACCCTCCAACCCAGAGGTTACTCCAGTTACCCAGACTGTTCTGCTTGCTTTGTTCCGATAAGACTGGAACCTTCCAACTGCCCAGTCACTGCAGTGAGCACCAGAAACCGGTGTGTCCAAGAGAACTCCTACGTACATGGCTACTTGTGGAGAGCCACCATGTTCCCCTTCCGAAGGAAGGTGCTGACTAGGTTATGCAGACACTTGCTGGTGACTGTGATCTGATAAGACAAGTAGACCAAGAGTCCATTCTCTCTGGTCCATGGCAACCAGAGAAACAGAGACCTCGACTGGGATTCAGGAGGCCCAAGTTATAGTCCCAGCCCTGTGATTTTTTTTCTCTCTGGGTCTTTGGAAAAAAAAAAAAAAAAGAAAGAGAAGAAAGAGAAGAAAGAGAAGAAAGAAAGAAAGAAAGAAAGAAAGAAAGAAAGAAAGAAAGAAAG